AAACTATGCCTTTGCTTTTGATCTTAGTCTAACCTAACCTAATAGCTTAACCGAACCTAACCTAACAGACCTACTATAAAATAATGTTTATGATTTATGTAATGTTACTGTCTTTAAAAAATCATAGTATTTTTGTCTGTTGGGCAGTTACTCTAGTTGATATGGTTTTAAGTCCGAAAGTTGATTTCTACTATAATCAATTAAAGCAGCATACATTGGCGTAACTAGGGGGGGAGCCCGGGGGTGCCCCCCCCCAGGTACTACTGGGCACCCCCCAGATGAATCCTGAATTATGACTCTTGGCTACGTATTAATTTTTATTTGCTTGAGATATAGTAAAAATTACGTTTTCTAGTTTTGTTTAGTTCTTATTATTTTGTTGTATTCAAAAAATGTGTTAAATTTATTTTTTTTAGAAACGGGAACACGGTTTGATAACCAACTCTATGAAATTTATTGTTAGAGAAATTCATGTAAACGTTTTATTCAAAAAATGTGTTTTTTAAAATTATTTTTCATTTTTAAAAAAACAAAAGTGCTAGGCTCCCCCCTGGGCTCAACACCAGGCCCCCTCCCTAAGGCCCCTTGGGCCGAGCGTTGTAATGTAACACGAGCATTCGCTAGTCAACGCCGGGTGCCAGGAAATAATCGGCGAACTGAGCAGTTCGCGAACACTGCGAACAGCAATGGTGCTCCACTCGACTGTCGGTTTTTTTAGCGAATCTCTTTGATCGTAACATTATAAGTCAATACAGGCGGATAGGACATTACAAGTCAATATAGGTTCGGTGAACGTCAGTATTCCAATCATATTTCTAGTAGCTACAGTGGTTTAATTGTGGTTAAACATGCTTCTGTTAATGGGCGGTCTAAGATATATAATCAATAGCTAAAAAGTTTGGAGAAACGTAGGACTCCCAGTTTTTAAATCCTACCTTAATGGCTGAAAAAATACCAAGTACAGCGAGCCGAACATTCGAAACAAGATGGTTTGATCTTTTAAGAGTCCATTTCACTAGTCCGAAAAAGTAGCAAAATAAGCGTTCGGTATTTAACGTTTTATGTAAAACTGGCTAGGTGTTTTTACACAAATGAAGAAGGAAATTAAAGATACAGGATTATACTATATCTGGATTGTAGCACATTTTTAGATAAATTCTACATTTTTACATTCTTCATTTATAAGATTTTGATGGTCAAACATCAACAAAATATACCTTATGTTTGGACTAAATATTCCCAAAAATAACACAACTTAAAATTCCGTTACAATACGGAAATAGATTGAAGTTTTGTAATTATAGTGATATATAATTTATATGGTTTTGTAACAAATTGCTCGTTATTTTATGGCAAATTCTGAAGCTCTGCAAACTTTAATCAAGCATTAACCTAAGCACGGGTGTTAGAAGCACCAAAGAATAAAGTTAACCAAAGCACACAAAATTTTGGGTGTGGCTTAACACGACAGGATCGGGCTAAGCCTTAGGCAGATTTCTGAAATATAATATACTATATTTCCTTCGGCCACATACCCGCTTTACCCGACCCCTGAGAGCGACCTGAACAGTACAGCGTAATAGTGGTAATAGAAAGTATCACATGATATAGGCGCAAAAATTCGCAACTATCCTCGTAAAAAATACAGACTCGCACGAACAAAATTGCGCATTTATCGATTTCCCATTTAAATTCAAATTCGGTCACGATACTTGAGACTGGTTGCATGGAGACGACAAAAGGTTATCACCCAGTTGATTTTTTAAGCCCCTAACCAGTTCGAACGAGATCTCAAAGAGACTGTGGGAAAATATTTTAATTTGTGAGAACATTTTCAAACGCAAACCGTCAAGGACTATTAAGTGTGTTCGTAAAACGGTTGACTGCCTGATAAGATCGGGTCAAATATTTTATTGAATAAAATTAGCGAAACAAGGTTACGACTCAAAGTTAAACAAGATTACAAGCGGAAAACAATAAAATTACACTCTGGAGATGTTTTTTGTAACGTACTGTTTACTTTTTTTTATTTACATATCGATTAAAGAGAGAGTTATTGAGATTACCTGTTTGACGTATAATGTGACGTATAAAATTTATCGTACTATTACATGTAAACAAATATGTGAGTATCACGATCATGGTCATCGAGACGGACGTACCAGTAGTCTTGTTTCGCCTTAGGTTATTTCTACAGGGAACATTTCGAGAATAATGTGTTAGGTTTCAATTACTATTTTTATATTAGATTTTAAAAGATATAATACGGCGTTCAGTTGGCTTGGAAATGAACATCAAGGACATTCCTTATATAATTTAACATATAAAATGACAGCGATCTTCATTTCATAACCATGGCGTTATTCCTTCTCCTGCGACACTATCGTCATTTTTTTCAATCATATTGTACAATCCATAATGTAACTTTATAGGATACTAGCGTGTACCAGCGACTTCGTTCACGTCGAATTAATCATTTGTAATGGTGATGATAAAGCAAAGCAAGAATTTCCATTAACATACAAACTGGATAAAATTTTCTCACATTTATGTCAGCATGAGAAAAAAAAATATGGCTATATTATTATATAACTTGGTAATATTTGAGGGGTATTTTCATTTCGTTGGAATTTGACTTTCGAAAAATCCAAAAGCCAAAAATAAGCTTTTTACGTCAAGCTGTTTAAGCAGAATCGTGGTTAAGAAATTACCCAACTTTTTGGAACACCCTGTATGATTTTTTAAAAAATTTCAAAATATGTAAAAAAAGTAAATAAATTATGCTTGTCCAAGCGTTTTCTCGAAAAACTAACCGTTTTTTAAATAACAAAAAATATTGTAATATTTGAGGGGCGTTTTCACCCTCTTGGAATTTGAGATTCGAGAAACCCCTCCTTATCGAACCTCTACACCCCACAGTCAATCCGTTTGCCAAAAATCAGCTTTAAACGTCAAGCAGTTTAAGCAGAATCGTGATTACTCGATGGTCATATTTTATGAAACACCTTGTACTACTGTTGGCGACCGACGAAATCGCGACGGCTGAAGCTAAACACGTCGCTATGCGGTTACTACGGTTCGAGCTAACTTCAAAAGTGCGATTATAAATAATTTATTTGCAAATTATAAATAATTTATAATTTTGTCGTCATTATCGTTGTTCTTCAGTAACAGGTTCCTGATTCGTTGTGGAACGCGACACGACGTTACAAAAAAATACCGCTCCAAAATCGCGTTACTCAAATACCGACACATCACTAGGTCACACTTGCATGGGAATCTGTAAATATTCTACTTCTTGGCACCTCGTATAAAAAATTAAAGCAAAATGTCCGAAAATAGAAATTTTCATGATAAATCTTGATTATCCAATCTATTTCATATTTGAACAATATTTTTAAAATGATGGAATTGTTTTCTATTTACACATACTAATATCCACTTATAATTAGAATAAAAAATTTCCACAAAAGGTTTTAAAAATGTTTAAGTAGATACAATACTTATGAAAGCCAAACATGATGACAATAAAAATAATCTTACTGCCTAACGTTAATATCTATTATAGCTTAACTAATAGTTACTACAATAGAGATATTATAAAAAGACGAGAAGGGCAATAAAACGTACAACAAAGATAGATAAACAACATTGAAGTTTCATATTTCGTAGCCTTTTTAGAATAGAGCAAATTTAATCTTATACTGTTGTAGGTATTCAACGATAGCCCGATAATGAGAAAAATATCTTGATAAATATTTAAAAAAAATCACTATACAAATGTATATAAGCCCGCGTAAGTCGATGATACTTTATACGACATAAAATACTTTTTGGTAATTAATCATCTTTCGGCATGTCACACTACACAACAAAACGCCATGCGCCATTGGCATTTATAATGTATTTTTCTTGTATTGTGCTATCAAGCTTTAAGAAATAGAATATAGACATCAAGCGGATGTAAGATAATTTTATACGGGGTGAGTCTTAAATAAGTGTATCTTTGCCATTTTTCAAATAAGTCCAAAACAAAAAAAAATAAAAATTTGAAAAAAAATTGAAAAATTGAAAATTTGAAAAAAAATGCTTAAATTTTGAGAACCACTGGATCCATTCTGGGCTTTTTTTCTTGTGAATTTAATCTACTACCTACATATGTTGTCATATTATCAAGAAATTATGTTTTTTACTAAAAACTTCAAAAATTGTTTTCTAAAAATTCCAAATTTCCAATTTTTTTTGCGAAAACAACTCATAGACCTAGAGTGTTCCTGAGGTAGAAATATACTAGTCTTAAAACTATTTGCACTTAATTAAGACTCCACACTGTATAAATGATATTAGTCATCACTTGATAATGAATCATTCGCCAATATTTATCATCTAATAAAGACTGAATAAATCAGGAACAACTGTTCTGTCAGAAACTTCAGTCTTGAACATAAATTTAATTTGGGCAAAAATCTAACAAAAGTGGCATTTCAATCCTTACTGTGACATCGTTTTCGCACCAGTACTTATATCCAGAAAAAAATATTTAGAACTATAATGGAAATTTTTCATGTTTAAAATACCTACACATAACGTTATATTTTTTGTCAATCTTAATGACCGTCTTTAAGTGAATTAAAACCGTCTATATCGAACTGACGGAATCATTTAGTTTTACATTAAACCAATGAACAACTGTAATTTTGCCAGTGAAGAAAATTAAGTAAATGTCCAAAAAATAATAGGGATGTACCGTTTAGCAGAATCGGACCTATGCTGATATGAAAAATAAAACTTATTTTTACGTGAGGAATCTCCCCACGAGAGATGGCACATGTTTTTTGAAAACCTTGTATACGCTAACAATCCATCTTACCTGACAAGTAAAACGTTGAGAACTGACGTCAGTTTTATAACCGTTTTCATTTTACTTGACAGGCAAAACTAAAGGATATGTGTATATGGCCCTTAAGTAAATATACCCCATTATATACAAACAAACTTACTTGATTACTTAAAGGATGCAGATCGACTTCACTGTTCTCTTGGACGTTCGCCTGCTGTCTGTCTCCAGGGTAACGACTGATTCCGGAAGCATGACTTGCAGCCAAATTACTGCGTTTTCCATGAGGAAGGTCGCTATCTCCCATACCCCACTCGGCTAAAAGATAAACCATCCCTCTTGGCCGTAATGAGAGTCAACGTTTCGGTTGATTGGTGCCGCACTCCTCTGTTGTTGCTTATTAACGTAGAGATCCTTTCCCAGCAGGTGATGCGATTAGTCTGAAACAAACGAACGTTCGTTGTAGTGAAAACGAGACAACGACGATATACGAGTGATTAGAAACACGACGAAAAGTCTACGTAGGTTCATTGGTTGCTTTGTTTTTAACTGTGGTTTTTAACGTCGGCTTTGAGGATGAACATCAGCTTGTCTCCGTTCTATTATTATTATATATTACTCAAGATTTATTTATTTCGTATTATGCGGTGAAAAAAAAACAGGCAGGTTTATCTCAGAGTCAAATGTAGGAAATTTTTTGCTGGCAGTTGTAAATAACCGATGACAAATTACGTCAATGCAGTTTTCTCAGTACTTGGTAGTTATTTTTTTAGTACATATCTCATAAATTATTTTTTATTAAACTCGACATAAAAGTGTTTATATTTTTTTAACGATAACGATAATTAATTCAATCAATTCTTCATTCCACTGTAAATTTACTATAGATCTTTTCATAAAAAAATAACAAAAGAGACAACTGCCTCAAACTAAAGATGACAGTTAATTTTGATATTTGATATATGTTGACAGGCTTGATATACTCGTCATAATTTCTCACAAGTATTTCTCACCATCATTTCTCTGTGTTCGTTTAAAGATTCTTTTATCGTAAAACTTTTTGATTGCACTGTATCTGAACGCGAAATTATTTTTATACAATATGCCATGTTATGAACTATAACTTACATTGGTGAAACATCTAGACCCATAAGTGATAAGTGTTAGAATTAACGAACATAAAGATTATTTAAGAAAGGGAGATTTTCACAAATCTAAGATTTTCACAAATCTAAGATTTGTCAGCATTCATGGGACACAGGGCACAGAATAAATTTTAATAACGCAAAAATTATAACGAAAGAAGGGATAGTCTCTAAAAGAAAAATAAAAGAGGCTTTTTTAATTCAATCTAATAAAAATAAATGTATTGCTCATGCATCTGTAGATGTTAGTAATGTATGGCAATCGCTTCTTTGATTTTAAAGAACATACCATAAATAAACATACCATACGTAAAATTTAAAAACAATCATACAGAAAGTTTGGAGCGTTTTGGTTTTACCTTATTAAGTAATTGTTATCAGGTAGTAATTGTTAATTTTGAAGTTTAACTTGGATATAATGTCATTTTAACAGAACGTCAACGGTTTCTGTTTTACAAAGTAAAGTGTTCTAGAATAGTTGAATTTAAATATTTTAAATAGTTTTTTTCTTTATTCTTAGCATTTTTTTGCTTCCGACGACGGAAAGAGAAAAACTTTCCAAAACGTTAAGCATTTTTTTCTTTGTTAGGCAAATTTGTATAACTGTAAACATAACTTCTGACAAGCAGTGTCCGTTTAGGTTTAACGCCAGAAGTGTTTACAAAAAATAACTATTTTATTTTGTAGATTTTCTTGCAGTGCAGTGGCGAAATACCCATAAAGGATTTTTTCGAGAGATGAATCTGCCACATACATAGGTATAGACATTTTTTATAACTTACATATTGCAAACATAAATTAAACAAATCAAGTTTTATTATTTTTTTATTAGCTGTTATGTCGTTTTCATTTTTCACACGGTATATTATTTTTTACAAAACAATACAGCTAAAAAATATTACTTTAAAATTACGTTAAACTTTTGTTTAACGGTTAATAAATTGTTAATAATACAATTTGGTTCCAGAAATATTGACGTTATTCCTTTCTAGAAATTACAAAAGTATCGAGATCTATTGATAAAAATCAAATAGCATTGACGCATTTATTGTGAAATATGTATTTGATGTAAAGTAAATAATTCTGGTGATTTATATAGATTTATATATTTGATATACATTTATGGGGATATTAGAAAAGGAAGAACGTAAACATATTATAAGCATAAAAAAATGAGCATTATTTCGACCTTAGTTTGTAATTTACGCTTTGATGTTAAATAACAAGTTACCATGTATATAAATATAATTATACTCAAACTGTAAGTAATGTATGTATAAACATAAGTATAATCAAGACCACCATTGATACCCAATAATTTGCCACCTTTTCTTTGGCGTTCAGCTGATTTTGGGAATATTAACTAAATACTCTCCTTCCTGACTTTCATCATCAGCAATATCATCATTTGGCTTGATGAAAAGCAGGATCGCCAAAAGGAGGAACGCGCCAGCAGGAACCAGTTTTGGCGATCCTGCTTCTCATGTGTTGCTAACTGGGAAGTTAGCAACCAAAATAAAAGTAACTATAGCTCAAAATTGGTAGGTGTGGCTGGGTTGGGATTTGAAACAGGATAAAGCAGGATTGTAGCAGCCCAAGCAGGATCGTATTTTATAATTCCTGCTTTCAATGAGTTGCTAACTAATATAATATTACAGTAAAAGGATGATAATATATTATCTTGTACTGTTTCAGGTCCTATATATCCCTCCGTCCTTTTTTAGAACCTCTAGTTTCTATCGGTATTTTAATATGTACAGGGTGACAATTTGAAAACGAACAGTATTTAATATTACCTCTACCGAAGTGTAAAAATTTGGCGAAATACATCAATTTACATATCAAGGGGGACAATTTTTGAGGCATTTGTTGTCGTGTTACTTTCAACCCTTTGATCCCCAGGGCACCTACCCCTAAAATTTTAAATGGCAACCCCTATTTCTTTTACCATTTTTGTGTTCCTTATAAAATTCTCAAAAAATAATGCAGTTTATGTAGAATTCTATAAGAAACACAAAAATGGTAAAAAGAAATAGGGTTGCTATTTAAAATTTTAGGGGTAGGTGCCCTAGGGGTCAAGGGGTTGAAAGTAACACGACAACAAATGCCTCAAAAATTGTCCCCCTTGATATGCAAATTGACGTATTTCGCCAAATTTTCATACTATCATCGGTAGAGGCAATATTAAATACTGTTTGTTTTCAAATTGTCACCCTGTATGTCCAAACTATATCTAACTTTGTACTTTTGTTGGGCGCGATCTTCTGCATAAAACATTGCTATATTTATTTTTCTAGCCCACATCTACATATGTATATCTTTTCTGTCTAAAAATCTGACTGAGAGAATTCTGACGTATTTTTATTTCCATAATCTTTAACATATTCTTATCTGAATAGTCTTATTGCCTGAGTGAAGTGTTGTATAAAATTAACCATTGATTGACATTTTTAGATTTATATTTCTAAAAATTATTTTGTTTCCGATAATATTCTGGAGATGTGTTTGTGTATCTCATAATCGATCACTGATTAACATTTTAAATTTTATATTTCGAAAAATTATGTTGTTGGTGATAATTTTCTGTAGTGTGCTTACCTTAGAAATTCCAAATAATACTACCATGTAATTTTAGATAGAAAGTTTTTTATCGGCATTTCTAAGATAATTTGACGCTGTTTTTCTCTATAATACTGTATTTCTTCACATTTTATTCACAACGTGGACTTAGAATTTTTCATAGCAGTTCACGGCAATAAATATATAATCTATTTATATACGGTATTTCTTGATATATTAAGGGCTGGCAAAGGTTAGTCTTGGGTCGAGATTTCCGTATGTAAGAAGAGTACAATGCGTTTATAATGTACTGAACAAAGAGGGGACAGTAAACACGTTGCCAAACGTATGAAATAAACCGAGAAACTGTGCACATCGCTAAGAGATGTAGAAGGGGATATAGCAGATTTGTCGCAGTTGACCGGTCGACCCAATCAATACCTGTCAGTACTTTCAGTAAGTTCTAAGGAAAGGTGTACGTCATGCGTTCAGCTTCACGATTTAATTACGTCTCGTGACATTTTATTTGTTTATTTATTAACGAGTCCTCGTAATTTTCCCTATAGCTTGAATTGTTTTAAGTGCAAGCTAGAAACACTTGCATTTTTGGTAAAAATAAGTGGAATTGAGTGGGTGTTCGATAGTGGTCGCTCTATTAGAACTCTGAATTCAAAAATCTAGTAGATTGAATCTAATAATAGATTGTAGTTTTTTCAAGAACTTTGTTAATATTTCTGCTGTATTTTCTTTGTAGACAGTATGGGAAAATCTTTATCAATAAAAAAATTACACGATTGCAGAAAATTGCTATGCTCTAAAATAAATGGATGGATTGTTTACAATTTTTGAATGGAAAAAAACAACCTTATCGAATTTTTCTTATGTAAACATATTGTAAAATATCCGATCTTGAAAATAAAAAAAAGTTTCAATATCTAAAGTGGTTCTTGAGTTATGGCCTGTTATGTGTTAAAAAGTTGAGTTTTTAAATTATCGCGATTACTGACGTTTTCTCGTTATAAAAAAAATGACACCCTAACGATATCCTTATAATTCCATTTCAGATGCTCAGAAACATGTCTAATGATTTTATCTAGTTATCTCTTGAAAAAAAAGCCTTTTAAAAATACTTTACTCTACTTGATACTGAAAGGCGTATGGGCAACGCCGCAACAGCACAGCGTCGCGCGTCGCGTCGGTCGGTCGCATTTCTCTCACTCCGACTTAATAAGATCCCTATGCGATTTACTTCCACACATGTAAATGCCGACCCAAAAGTAACAGTTGCCAGCACGGTATGATAGATAATCCGTCAGACAAATATTTATAGGAAGGATATATATTTTATTAAAATGCATTAATCAACTAATAGTTTTAAAAGAATCAATATTTAATTACCTTCTATGTGCAAAATATGAATAAATCGTTCATTTATCCAGTGGACATCTGACATCATTCCTATATTATTTTCAAATTTATAACACACTTAAGTTTAGATAATCTTTAAAAATAAGCTCCGCTACAATGCTAAATTATTTAAACCTGTCCTTTTCAATGCAAAATATTATATTATTTGATCAGGTATCAATAAGAATGAAATAGATTATTTTTTATGATATTTTTCATAGAATTATTTGTAACTAAAAAATGTCTTAGTTAAATTCAAAATAAAATTAATAAAAAAAATCCCATATGATATGGAATTCTTCGAGATGATGACCGTTCGTTGAGACTAT